AGAAGAAGAAGAAGAAGAACTGAAACAAGTTAACATACACCCCCATTCCTAAGCCAGAAGCAATCTCCAATTGATAACCACTTTGAGATGAACATTTAATTTTCTCCAAGGGAATCTCACTGGAGAAACAGGCTGATTACTCTTAAGGGTAGGCACATGCCCACCAGTAAATGGCCAACAGCAAATGAACTCAACAGCTGCTTTAGAGGCTTCTGCCTCATCATATCATGTAAGAACTCTTTCATTTTTTGTTTATATATTTCCCTCTCTCTTTTTAACCTACAGATCCTTTGCATACATATTTTGACTTTTATTTTAAAAAAAAAAACACTTTAGTGTCTTTTATGGAATTTCCGAGTGTGTGAACGAGTTTCTTGTGCCTTCTCTTAGGCTCTTTTCCATCTGTTTGGTTGTTTTATCCAATTGAGGTGTTAATTTTTGTTTTATCTTATTATTTTATTTCCTAATTATCCCATATAAGCCTGCTTATTTTCTAATGAGAGACAGAAAGGGGGAGGCTGTAGATGGCAGGGAATGCGGGGAGGAACTTGGAGAATAGAATGGAAAACCATAATCAGAATATATTATGTGAGAAAAAATCTATTTTCAACTAAAGGAAACAAAAGAAATTGCCAAACAAGTCCATCTAAAAGACCAAACAAGATTTTCTTTTCCCATAAAACTGCTTACACTTTCCTGTACCCACACAGGGAAACAACACACAGCTCTTAAGGTTCCTACCCAATCCTACTGAAGCTCAGTGGGCCACACAGAAGAGCAGGTGTGAAACTAGGGTGGGTACTTTTCCGGGGGTGGGGGCAGGCATGAGATGGGGCAGTAGAAGCTGATAATGACTAAAATCCATTAAACACACATGTGAAACTGTCAGAGAATGATAAATAAATAAATCTTCAAAATGTGAATGCACATACATATAAATGCCTTGGAAACAGTTTTGAATGAAACATACCACTGGCATAAAGGTAGATATTAAATATAGAATGGTTTGAGAAATGTATGAAATATGTATTCCGGATGGGTACCTATATAAGTCACCAGATACTATTGAATATAAAAGCCACATAATTTATTTACAGATAATACATACATGGGTTATACAAAGGCCTCTCCATATTTTAATATATACTTTGTATAGTTTGTAATGTTGGGTTCTCCTGGGACAGATATCACTTTTAGAATCATATAATATATGTACCAAAATTAAAGCAGAGATGATACAAAAATAGACATAAATTCTGCAAAGATAGCTGGAAATGATGCATTAAATTTGACTTACAAACATTGTCCAGAGCTAGCTTAGGCTGAATTGAAGAATCACAGAGTTGAACAAGAGGATAGTTATATCTGGTTAAATTTCAAGATTTTGGTAAAAACAATAAGAGGCTAGCATATTCTATTATTTGGTTGACCTTGTAGTTTTTATTATTTTTGGCAAAGAGAAGGGTTTGGATTTGTAGACCGAGTGAGTAACAAGTAAAAGATACACACAGCACTGATTATAACCACTCTGTGAGCATCCTTGCCTGGCGCCTCGTTCATTTACTTATGTCTTCTACTCTTATGCCTACAAACATTTGTAAAAGGGTACACTAATTTTACTCCAATTAATTTACTCCACAAGAGTGGTTCTGTAAAATTCCACACTCCCTTCTTTTGCTCAAACAACTAAACAATTCTCTGATCAAATTAGAAAATACTTGGAACATTGTGTTTGTACATGGCCCACACCTGAGCAAGCCTGGTCTCTTATAGAAATCATGTCAGGCAATCATTGTTTTTCCAAACCCAAGTCAGTGTTTCAACACCTGGCTCCAAGTTGCACACCCATGGTCTACATTATAATTCCTTCTTTAGTTCCTTCATTTATTCATGACTAGGTACCTCGCCTGAAAATTTCAGCTTTATAAAACCTAACTGTGTAGTATCTAATCTCACTTAGAAAGTTATTTTTACAAAAGGGTGAAAAATATGTTCTTTAAATTACAACATCTACAACAATACTTTATAATATCAAAGATAAAATGCTATTTTCATGCTACAAATGTGAAACACATCCATTTTTATAAAGCAAATTCTATCTCTATGGAAACAGAAAGAAAAAAATCTTCAGGCTTTCATAATGAGTTTTTTTTCTGGAAAATTAATGTTAATGCCAAATTCATCTTTTATGTTCCAATTAAGCTCTTTTTCTGGTTTAGAGCTCTTCTATGAACAGTGGTTAGGCATCATTTTGGACCGACATCAGTCATATTAGCCGTGCTACTAAGACACACTGCTATGAGACGGCACTACTAGAAACCTGAAGGGGCTGTGCCATGCACTAAGCAAAAATTAGCTGCACACACTCTCTCTGAAAAATACCTAGCATTCTGTGCCAGCTCATCCGACTATGCTCCCAAGTTAGGAAGAAGCATTGCTAAAAGTGCAACCAAAGAATTCTCAATGAGCCTTTAAAACAAATCTTAATCTAAAGCCCTCTGAAGACTCAAAGGCTGTATTTATGGTATTAAAGTAAATTAGAATTATAGTCACACACATGCCCAGCAATTCGGAACACGTGAACATGTTAATAGCCAGAACCTGGAAACAACCTAGATGCCCTTCAATTGAAGAATGGATGAAGAAAGTATGGAATATATACATATTAGAGTACTACTCAGCAGTAAAAAACAAGGACTTCTTGAAGTTTGCAGGCAAATGGATGGAAATAGAAAACACCATCCTGAGTGAGGTAAGCCAGACCCAAAAAGAGGAACATGGGATGTTCTCACTCATATTTGGTTTCTAGCCATAAATAAAGGACATTGAGCCTATAATTCGGGTTCTTAGAGAAGCTAAATAAGAAGGAGAACCCAAAGAAAATCATATAGGCATCCTCCTGAATATTAACCTTCATCAGGCGATGAAAGGAGACAGAGACAGAGACCCACATTGGAGCACCGGACTGAAATCTCAAGGTCCAAATCAGGAGCAGAAGGAGAGAGAGCACAAGCAAGGAACTCAGGACCGCGAGGGGTGCACCCATACACTGAGACAATGGGGATGTTCTATCAGGAACTCACCAAGGCCAGCTGGCCTGGGTCTGAAAAAGCCTGGGTCAAAACCGGTCTCGCTGAACATAGCGGACAAGGAGGACTACTGAGACCTCAAGAACAATGGCAACGGGTTTTTGATTCTACTGGACCTATTGGTTTCGTGGGAGCCTAGGCAGTTTCGTGGATGCTCACCTTACTAGACCTGGATGGAGGTGGGTGGTCCTTGGACTTCCCACAGGGCAGAGAACCCTGATTGCTTTTTGGGCTGACGAGGGAGGGGGACTTGATTGGGGGAGGGGGAGGGAAAGGGGAGGCGGCGGTGGGGAAGAGACAGAAATCTTTAATAAATAAATAAATTTAAAAAAAAGAATGACAAGTCATTCTTCAAAGACCTTGATCTTACTACTCTGGGGGGGGTCTCCTATTCTGAAGGTAAATTGTGCTTTAATGTATTCTTCTTCAATTAATTTTCTATCTAAATGTCTAAGTGTGATGTTTAAAAGGTATATCTCTCATCCCAGGAAGCTTATGGAAGTAGCTGGATTTAAGCCATGTAGTGGTTGGCTTAATGCCTGGGTATCAAGGATGGTCTGTGGTGAAACACAGACTGCCTAATTTGTAGACTTCTTAGGGGGATGGAATATTAGGGATTGACGTATGGGAACTAAGTTTATTATATATAGCCTGCTGTGTTGGGTTGTGGAATTGACACTTTGATAGTCTCTGCCCTTGCCAGCAGATTTAATCTATAAATAATGATAATGGAATCTGGAAGTAATTAAATGTATGCCATGAGTACTTCATGACCCTTCCTCTAAAATTGAAAGGGAAACTTAAAAATATTAAATGAATATGTACACCCAAAGGTTCTATATTTATCCAAGTTTATCTTAAAAAATGTTTTGCCCAAAGTCCTTGAATTTACTGAGCCATCAAGATACAATGTATTTACTAAAGTAGACGTTCTAGAGTATGGCACACTACTGAACAGACTCTGTTATTCATCTTGGGGGGTAAAGTAGAAGTGTTCTTCAAATAAAGTCAAAACTTGAGGGTAAAGTCAAGGAAGCACAAGCTGTCACCTACCTAAAAACCTTTGAGCCTCTGTTTCCTTGACTTGTGGAGGGCACAAAATTCTCTACTTCAAGAGACAAGTCATAAATTCTGGCATTCTTATTAAGAATAAAGAGGCTGCCTAGCCATCTAAGACTTGGTAAAGTACTGCCCTTTCCTCAGAGCCGAAAAGAAATCTGGCTTCTTAGAAATGGGAATGCTGTCACCCTATGTCCAATGAAATATATAAATGTTCATATGTGAACCAGTAAGCCAATTTTTAATTTTCTAATTATTATGATAATCATTTGTGTATGTACATGATGAAAGGTCACCCACACCAAGGTGTACACGTGGAGATCAGGCGGCAATTTTGCGTAATCTCTGTTTCCATATTTTGTTGATCTGGGGATCACACTCAGGTTGCCAGGTCTGCGAGACAAGTGCTTTACCCACTGGGCAATCTCCTGGCCTTAGTAAGCTAATTTTAAACCCATGTTTTATTTTTGTACATTTGTTATGTTAAAGCTAATGTATAAAGCTGAAAGAAATGACTTTTTAAAAACATTCATTGACTGTATGGACCATACCCATAAATCGTATTTATCTGCTGCCTTTACAGTTCCAACTCTCAGCATCCTTAGAACACAGCAGGAAAAAAAAATAAAAGCTGTGAAAAGATATAACATTTTGCAACTTTAAAAAATTTGAGATTAATATACTGCAACAGAGAACTCTGCGAGGCAAAAGGTTGATAAAGTACTTTCAGATATTTCTGTTTTACATTTTCACAGCCCAGACTTGTTTATGTTGAAGGATTTGAAGAGCAATTGTTTGTAAATTAAAGTTAGGTTTGTAAAAAATGCCATATATGCTCAGTTCTAATATTGTAAAAAAAATACATAATTAAGAAGACGCTGCCCAAAATGTCAAAAAATAATTATTTCTCGATGTTATCTTTGTTTTTTTTCCTTATTCTTTCCAGACCTTGACCATTCTCAGTGAGCATGCAATAATTTTGAAATGCTGCCTCTTGGAATATAAACATTAACGCAATGAATGCGTCAAAGGGCAAGCAAGAAAGAAAAGCCACTAAACTTCCAATCTTGAGTCTCTCACAGTGTCCAACATGTTGACCATTCATTTGCCTAAAATCCGTCTCTTCACATTTTTTATGGCCTCCTTCACGTCTTTGTTTCTGAGGCTGTAGATTAAAGGGTTCATCAAGGGAGTCACGACCCCATAGAACATGGATATAAGTTTGTCTGTAGCATCCAAGTCATCTCCCTTGAGTGTGTCCTTAGACTTGGGTTTCATGTACATGAAGAGGATGGTTCCATAGAATATTACCACCACAGTAAAGTGGGCTGAGCAGGTAGAAAAGGCTTTGCTTCTCCCCTCAGCTGAGCGAATTTTGAGAATGCTAGAAATGATTAACGAGTACGAGACTACAATGAGGAGCAGCGGCATCAAAGTGAACAAAGTTGTGGCCACGACCATGAGGAATTCGTTGCCCGAGATGTCAGTACAAGACATCTTCATGACAGCCAGAATTTCACAGAGAAAATGATTGATGACGTTTCCACAGAAAGGCAGTCGCATCACAAGTGCCGTTTGTACTGCAGAGCTGGCAACCCCTGAAAACCAGGACCCAGTTGCCATGGTCACATAGGAACTCTTGCTCATGATGATAGGGTACCTCAAAGGGTTGCAGATGGCCACATAGCGATCAAAAGCCATCATACCCAGGAGCACACACTCTGTTGTCCCCATGGCTAAACCAAGAAACATCTGCACTGCGCAGCCAAGGAGTGAAATGGTCTTTCTTTCTGAGAGAAAGCGTACCAGGGTGAAGGGAACAGAGGAGGTCGTGAAGCAGATGTCCAAGAAGGACAGATTTCCCAGGAAGAAGTACATAGGGGTGTGAAGGTGGGAGTCAAAAATGCTGAGGATAATAAGAGTGCCATTGCCCACAAGGATGACTGCATACATCATTAAGATGAGCACGAAAAAGAGACGCTCAAGCCTTGGGTAACCAGAAAGCCCCTTCAGAAAAAATTCCTCCATAAGAGTTCGGTTTTCCCATTCCATTGTATTGCCTCCCTTTTACCTGTAAGAATTAAAAAAAAATTAAATGTCATTTTCTATGCTAAAGTAGGTTCAAGTATATCAATGAAAAAGTATAAAAATTTGTATTAGACTCAATGAAAGAGAATGTGTTAGACAAAAAATGATAGAAAGGCTGAAAGGATAGAAAGGAAGGAAGCAATGTGGGGAGAGGGCTGTGAGAGATAAGTTATCATATTGGTCATCAGTGAGCTAAGGACTCTGCAGCTGGTTTTTAATAAACTGTGTCACTTAAATTTTAGAACATTGCCATTTTAAAGTCAATAGAGCTACAGTAGTATATGTCAAAACCTAGGCTCAAACTCAAGACTCTCTTCCTGTGACCCATGTTTAATCAAGACTTTTGTGTGTGTGAACATAAAGGTAATATACAATTGTTATATGACAGATGTGGTTTATTATTTGAAAAAAAAGCAGATTAGGTTCCATCAGAAGAGCTCAACAGTAACCCCTATGTATAAAACTATCAAAAGAAGCACAAGACTCTGCAGGGTCGAAACCAGAAATGAATATGACTGCACAGAGTGCCCAGTTACCCGAAACCAGGTCCATTTCATGGCAGCCTCATAATAGGAACTCATGTCAAAATGAAAATGACTCAGGGGGAGGCACTAGAGAGATAGAATCATTGTTTTCATTTTAGATGCATACAGACACTTGCACGTCATACAAAACAATCGACCTTTTAATCTTTAATGTTCAATTACGAATGATAAAGCATTTATAGATGCATGTAATTGCCACCATGACCGAGTCACGGATCCATAACCTGTCCCCTTCTATACTACTTTATTTTTAGTAGCCTCTTCTGACTATTCTAAAACCTGTCAAGCATGGATATGTTTTCTGTCCCTAACGTTTCAGTTTCTCAGGATTTCATAAAATAAAACTATGTTGGGCTTCTGTTGTTTACCAAATTCCTTTAAGATTCATTCAAGCTGTAAATGCTGGGTAGCTTTTTGTTGCCTGGAGGTACTAATTATCTACCCATTTGTCCTTGGAAGGGCATTTGAGATGTCTCTGTTTGGGGGCAGTAATGAATAAAGCAGCCATAAATATCTGAGCCTTGGGTTTTGTCTGCTAAGCTTCCAGGTTTCTAAGGTAGAGATCCTCTATTAAAATTACAATCTCATAGCAAATACGTAGTACTTCTAGAAAGATTGTATTGTGTGCATCTTCCAAGTAGCAGCGTGTAAGAGTCTCGGGTGCTCTGATTTTTATCAACATTAGGAATTGCCAGCTGTGCCTTCTAATTCATTTCAATTGGTGTATAGAGATATCTCATTAAAGATTTTACTTAGATTTCCCCAATGATCACTGATGTTCTGATGTTGAACATCTTTCCTTATTCCTTTTTGCCCTGTTTATATTCATTTTTAGTAAAAGGTTTGTGTCTTTTGCCTATTTCAAATGTTTTGTTGTTAGGTTTTTATATTTCTTCATATATACACACATATCACACACACACACACACACACACACACACACATATATATATATATATTTAGAATAGGCAGTTATGTGGAGGGGTGAGAGAGAGACATAGACAGAGAGTAAGGAAGGGAGAGAGAGAAAGAGAATGTTGATGAGCAGCCTGTCATAAATGTGATTTTTATATATTGCTTTCTAGTCTCTGGTTTATTGTCTCATTTTGTAAAGCATCTTTTAACTGGTCCCCAGGTCTACTCTAAAGGGATCCAGATGAAAGCCTGTGATGACAGAGACATCTACCAACATGAAAGCTCCATTACCTTTCTCCTTTCTCACTGAGTAATTCATCAGAAAGACATACACTGCAAGCACCCAAAAATTAGGAACAGTGACTAGTGCCACCAAAGTCCTTCCTCAGGATGTCATCAACCAGCTCTGTTTCTTAACCTTTAGAGACATACTACTCCCTCCTGTCTCCCTCAGATGTTAACACACACACACACACAGAGAGAGAGAGAGAAAGAGAGAGAGAGAGAGAGAGAGAGAGAGAGAGAGAGAGAGAGAGAGAGAGAGAACCCAGTGATATTTTTGAACATTAACAGAGACTCCTTTAGCAGTATTCCAACTAATCCATGAGATAAAAAAAAAAATAATTTCTGGAAACGAGCAGTTTATAACAGACTGCTTCTCCTTATTTACAAAACTACACAAGTTTAAGATCTGAATTGAATCTTTAAGCCCATTTTAATCACCTTTTTACTACTTCTAATGGCTTCTGGCCACAATTAAGGTATTTTTTTCTATTTTGTCCTTATTTCACCCTTTATACTTTGAGATTCTCTTATAAGCTAAATGTGCGTGTTTCTTTTGTATCTAAATCCCAGATGCTCTTGAAGCTGTGTTATAAACAAAGTCTCCCAAATCTTAATTCCCTAGTACATGATATCTTAAAAGTAATCTCACTGGGAGAATCATTCTTCTACCCACTGCCACCATTCAGTTTGTTATTGTAAAGTCAAGTCGATTTTGTCTCCATAAAAGAACATGCATCTAAGTGCTAACTTGGCAGTTTCTGAGCACTGTGACTTTGGGTAATTTTCTTTCCTCAGTTTCGATGTCCTCATCTCCAGCATGGGAATTTTAATAGCCTTATTATCGGGTTCTTGGGAAAATAAGCAAAACAATACACATATATAGCCTGCAGCATATGGAAAGAATTGCTTTGGTTTCCTTCATTTTCAGTCAACATTTTATTCTTACAGAGTTATTTTACACTTCCTAATATCACCCTACTCAAAGAGCATCTTCAAAGTTTTATCTATCATTGGTCTTGTTCCCTCTTAATGTAATAAACCTATATCACATCTATGAGTTGAGATAGATACAGTCTACCAAGGTCCATTTACTCCACCGTGAAGAGTAAAAAGATTATTACATAATCCCACATTTTAAAATATGAAGCTCACAGGCTGACATTTTTTACTAAAAGCTACTTCAGTTCATTCATCTAAAATCCAGCCTAAGATGTGACCAGAAACAACAGTACATCTCTAGCCCCCATAGAAATGCCTTGCCAACAACAAATATTTAATATCATTCTTCCAGCACTCATGTAAAGATGAGTCAAATTTTTCCTTTTAGTTACTGACTCAGTGTTCCATTTCTCCTCCTGTCACTCTAAAACCGAAAGATGTAACGAAGAGCAAAATCAAGCATCCTACGTAGCCTTCCCAGATAGATGACCCAGACAAGGAACCAAGGCAAAATGCTGCCCGTTCATTGTTGATACACTCTGTTTCCAACCTGATCCAAACAAAACTGAATTTTTTTGATGTGAAGTAAGTCACTTCACTGAACTTAATACAACAATACACATTCTGATCAAGAGGACAAACACAATGGCAAAAGTGCAACAATTTCATTGGGATGAAAGGAGATGGTTCTCTTGGATGCATAGACACTTTACATTCTGATCAAGAGAACAATTCCAATGGCAAATGTACAACGATTTCATTGGAACAAAAGTAGATGGTTCTCTTAGATGTGTAGATATCCTATATTCTCATCAATGTTCAAATGATAAGGTTTTGAGATAGTGAAACTATTTCTCAATTTTAACTACATTCAAGAAAGTTCTCCTGAAGATTTTATTCCAATTTAACAGTCTCCCTAATAAAAAATGTCCCATCCCCAAAGCATAAGATTTATATCAACTCAGTTCATTAAGACACACTTGCTTGTTGATAATGATTGGCATGTTCTGGAGGGAGGACCAGCTTACCTCCCAGATTGCAACATACAGTAGACTATTTTCCCATGACTTTCATTCTATTCTACAAAGTTGCCCATGAGTCTGATGACTTTCTAAAGAAGCAGTTACCACTGGGGGGTGGGGCTGTGATGCAATAAGACAAATTACCTGGAAAACATTGACAAGGGTAATTTACAAAAGACATTTTCAAATTACTTCAAACCTTTCTAGGGCATGTGTTTCCTACAGGAACACAGTTGCTGCTGCTACTTCCAACTCAAATGGTGAACATTAAATATTGAGCAGTTTTGTCCGAGAATACAGCACATTTCACACCGCTCTGTGTAAGATCCAGGAAATTCTCCAAAGAATTGTCTTAAGGCTCAGTGAAGTCATTTAAAGACTTCTCGCTCTTGGGGAATTTTGAAGTTTTTTAAGTCATAATTTTAAATTGCTCCAAAAGTTTTGGAACTTCAAGAACAATACCCTAAAGACTTAATTAGATTAGACCAATTAGCTGTGTCTTTAACAGCCAATCAAAAGATTTCAAGACCTGTCTTATCCTACTGCTATTGTAAGGCACTTATTTCAACTGTATTCTAAGGACTTCATCTGGGTCTTTGTTTTGCCTATAGTATCTTAATAATAAATGGAAAGAATTTTTTTTTTTTTTTTTTTTTTTTTTTTTTTTTTTTTTTTTTTTTTTTTTTTTTTTTTTTTTTTTTTTTTTTTTTTTTTTTTTTTTTTTTTTTTTTTTTTTTGGATTTTCGAGACAGGGTTTCTCCATAGCTTTTGGTTCCTGTCCTGGCACTAGCTCTTGTAGACCAGGCTGGTCTCGAACTCACAGAGATCCGCCTGCCTCTGCCTCCCAAGTGCTGGGATTAAAGGCATGCGCCACCACCGCCCGGCAAATGGAAAGACTTTATTAAGTGTTATTATTTCTTGGTTATTAGCAACAGTAGTAGTGCATGCATTTCCTGACATTCTTATAAAACTTCATACATATTGTCATTTAATTCATAATTGTTAAATTAGATTTACTGTATGAGCAACCTAAAAATGATTTGCCTCTACAACTTGGAATTCCTAAATATTGGTTGCATTCCAAAACTCATAATAAATCTGGAAAATATTAACTTGCTCAGTAAAAACTAGAATCTATGCAGCAATTCAGTTTTTCAGTAATTTTACAGGAAATTTGTAATCCATACTGTGTCATACTATCATAATACCCAAAGAGTTCATTTGAACAGAAGCATTCCACTGAGATCAGCAGGGGTCAAAGCATCTCTCATTC